TGCAGTTGGCCAGTCTTGCTATGATCTGGCAAACAAAATCTGCTCAAAGTACATCTTAAAGAGAAATGAGGAATTAAGAGAATAAACTACATAAACATGCATTTTTCCCCATGGAAAAACTAAGAAGGCCTATTTCTGAGTGGTGAGATTATGTATAAATTTTATCACATGCTTTATATTCTTCAATATTTTTCGAATTTTCTACAATGAATATATACCACTTAAAATAAATTATCTAAAAACAAATAATTTTTCAATGGATGCTCATAATGGCCAGAGTGGAAACAACCCAAATGTATATCAACTGATGAATGGACAGATAGAATGTGGTACACATCCATACAGTGGAATATAGCTAAGCAACAGAAAGAAATGAAATACTGGTATGTGCTACAATATGGATGAACCAAAAACATTTTGCTAAGTGAAAGAAGCCAGTCACAAAGTTCCACATATCATATGATTCCACTTATATAAAATATCCAGAACAGGCAAATCTATAGAGACACAAAGATCAGCGGTTGCCTAGAGCTGGAAGTTGGGAGAAGTTGGGGGTTGACAACTGAGGGGTGAGGGGTTTCTTTTGGGGATGATGAAAAGGTTTTAAAATTGATTGTGGTGCTGGTTGCACAACACTTTTAGTGAATATACTAAAAGACACTGAATTGTATATTTTAAGTGGGTGAATTATGTGGTATTTGAATTATATTTCAATAAAGCTATTAAACCAACAAATGTAGAAGGCTTGCAAAGAGCTGAGAGTGGATCCAAAATATCCTGATGCAAATGTACTAACAATTCACTATGCCCATTTCATTCTTCACTCTTTCCATTTTAACTTTAAACTTTGTACTTACTCAGTTGCTAGGTGAGAAGGAAACATCTCAGATAAAGTAAGATAACAGGGAAGGAAAACCACTTTCTTGTTTACTTTGTAAAGGCAAATAAAAAAATTTGCCTAAGGAGAAGGATGAAGAGAGGACAGCAAAAGTGACAACGGCAAAGAGAAAGGGGGACAGTAACCATAGTAGTAATAGATAAACAGGCTTAAATAAAAGAGCATAAGGCTGTTGCCCAGACCTGAAGGACTACACTCTAGAAGTAAGACATCAGAGGTGAAAGTGGGAGAAGAATTTTAGCAATAACTGATTTGGCAAAAAGGAAGGAGGATGAAGTGAGGAAGAGAGAGAGAGGTGGGGACTATTTTTGGTGAAATATAGCAAACATACAAGAGCATATAAAAAAAAAATGTGTACAGGGCTGGCCGGTTAGCTCAGTTGGCTAGAGCACAGTGTTATATCACCAAGGTCAAGGGATCGGATCTCCATACTGGCCAGCAGCTCCCCCCCCCCCACAAAAAAGTATATAGTTTAGAGAATAAAATTAAAACAAACAGTAAAGTACTCATTAACCAAAACAAAGACTACTACCAATGCTCCAGAAGCCATCTGTCTATTCCTCTTCAAGTTTATCCTCCTTCCTTTCCCTATCCACAAAGTAAAAACTCTCTTAAATATTACTATTCATTCCCTTGCTTTTTATTATTCCTCACATCCATGTATCTATGTCAGCAGGGGCCAGTAAACTATGACCCACAGGCCAACTCTGGTCCACCACCTGTTTGTGTATGGTCCTACAGCTAAGAATGATTTTTTTTTTTTTTGGCAGCTGGCCAGTATGAGGACCCAAACCCAAGAATGATTTTTTTTTTTTTAAGATGACCAGTAAGGGAATCTTAACCCTTGACCTGGTGTTGTTAGCACCACACTCTCCCAAGTGAGCCACGGACTGGCCCGACCCAAAAATGACTTTTACTGATGAACATTTGGGATTAATTTGATGATAGGGAACACTAAGTTTGAACCTCAAATTAAGCAAAACACTGCTTCTCTGTTATTAAATTGTGTCCCCCCAAAAGACATATGGAAGTACTTAACCTCCAATACTTCAGAATGTAAACTTATTTGGAAACAGGATTGTTGCAGACATAATTAGTTAAGATGAAGTTATATTGGAGTGGGCGGGCCCTTAATCTAATATGTTTGGTATCCTCAAAAGAAGAGGAAAGACTGTGTGAAGAAAGCTATGCAGGGAGAACACCATGTGATGACAAAGGCAGAGACTGGAGTGATGCAGCTGCAAGCCAAGGAATGCCAAGGATTGCTGGCCACCACCAGAAGCTAGGAAGAAGCAAGGAAGGATTCTACCCAGAATTTCAGAAGGAGCACAGCCCTCCTGACACCTTGACTTCAGATTTCTAGTGTCCACAACCATGAGAGATTAAATTTCTGTTTTAAGCCATCCAATTTGTGGTACTTTGTTATGTACCTAGGAAACTATCACAAACTCCCACCCACCCTCAACCCACAAAATAGAATTCCATTCTTCTCATTAGTAGACCTATATTACAAAAAACTCAATTATTTTGAATTCGACAATAAAAAATATTGTGGAAATCAGTTTTCTCTCTTGTTGTATAAGTACCTATATAATAACTCCAATTTCGCTTCTTGGCCCACAAAGCCTAAATATTTACTATCTGGACCTTTATAGAAATCCTGCCTAACCATGATCTAAACGATATACCATTTAGGTTTTGCCTAATTTTGAACTTTAGATAATAGATTTATACAGTATATGTTATTCTAAGATTTGTTTCCTTCAAACATTGGAGATTTATTCATGTTGATGCAAGTAGTGCACTGATTTTATTTTTATCAAATATATGATATTCCACGTATGAATATACTATAAATTATTTATTCATTCTACTGTCTAGGGTCTTCTGGGGTGGCTTCCAGGTTTTCCTGTTGTTTGTTTTCTGTTATGAACAATGCTGCTATAAATATTCTGGTAGACATCTTCCAGTCACTTGTGCACGAGTTTCTCTAGGGTATATACCTACTGGTGAAACTGCTGGCTTATAGGACATTGTTAAGGATTAAAGATGACCACAAATTCTTTGACATTCCTTCTGTCAAGAGGAGGAGGATATTTTCCCCTTCCCCTTGAGTCTGGGTTAACCTCATAACTTTTTTTTGACCAACAGAATGTGATGGAAGTGATGCTCTGGGATTTCCAAGCCATAAGAAGGTTGGCAGCTTCCATCTTCTCTCTCTTAGAAAGCAGACGCCATGCTGCAAAGAAGTAAATTGATCACCAAATGACGAAAGGCCACATGGAGAGAGACCCTGGAGGGTAGGAGCCTATTTAGGACATTTTAGCTCTAGTCAAGCTCCCAGATAAATGCAGCCATATGAATGACCTCAACTCACAAGCATATGGAGCAGAAGAACCTAGAAAACCCAAAGAATTGTGAATGACAAGTCATTGTTGTTTTAAACCACTAAATTTTGGGGTAATTTGTTACACAGCAATAGATAACTGAAACACATACTGAAGTTCAACTTTAACAAATAATGCCAAATCCCTTTCCAAAGTGGTTAATATTTCTACACGTAGCAGTTTTGAGTATGAGTTCTCATAGCTCCACAACCTCCCCAACACTTGGTAATGTCAGTCATTTAAAAATTTTGCCATGGTGGGAGGTTTGGGAAATGATAAGTTGGGCAAAGGGCATAAAGAAATATCATGATTTGTAAGAATGAATATGTTAATAATAAATTTAAAATTTTTTTAAAAATTTTTGCCAATATGGTAATATGAAATGGTATTTTAATGTGGTTTTAACTGACACTTCCCCAATTATTGAGGTTGCATGTATTTCCATATGTTAATGGTTGCTTATGTTCCTTCTCCCATGAGATTCCCATTTTGCCTATTTTTCTACATGTTTTTTTCTTATTGATTCACACAAGTCTACAAATTATACATAAATATCTTCTCATCTGTGGCTTGCTTTTCCACTATCTTTATAATATCTTTTGATGAACAGTAATTTATTTTCATGTAGCAGAATTTATAAATCTTTTACTTTATGGCTAGTGCTTTCGGGTCTCAAGAAATCCTTCTATACTCACAAGTGTATCGATTTGACTCTCAAAAGTTGTACACTTTACCTTGTAAAGGTCAGTCTTTAATCCACGTACAATTAATTTTTCTGTATGAATTGAGGTAGGGAACCAATTCTTTTTTTTCTCATATGGATAACCAGCTGTCCCAA